TAAGGTGGTGTCCAGAAAAAAGCTTATCCACCCTGCAGCAGAGGCTGGCGCATTGAGACATCACCATTAAAATACAGTTGCGGTATCTCTCTTGAACGCACTAAATGATTGGAACATTCCATTGACGTCAATAGCAGTGTGAAATGGGAACGTGGACGTTATTTCTCGTCATTTTCCTGCATTCACATGTTCAAAGTCTACTAAATTTCGTTCCCGTGCACCAATACTGAATATTATTATTTTTTTCATTTATTTGATTTAAGCACTTAATACACTGCGTTGCGGTATGCCGGTAAAAAGTGGCAGGGTCCCTTGAAAAGCACATTGTAAAGCAGTGGTTTGCGCATTCAGAACGGGTAAAGTTGTCTTTTTCGCAGTTAGTTCAGAATTTAGTATTAAATCTGTTCTCACAAGGAAACTTGACTCATATATGTACTCGTGAAAGAGAAACCTCCACTCAGAAAAAAAAACAACCTCTTATACCTCAAGGTGTTGGCGGAGTTTAAGCTTTATCTGGAGCACATTACAGAGTGGAATTTCGGAAATTGAAGCAGGATTATGTCTTGCGACCCTGTGTGACTGTTTTTTTTTTTTTTTTGCTTTCAGCTGCGGCCGTCGTTGGAGAAGCGTTGACAAATGCAAGCGAGTAAATACTGAGCGAGGCCCTCTGTTTCCGTGGTGCTGTCCTGCGTTCTCCTGCGTGGGTGACGTACCGGGCAGGCTAAACGAATAAACGGGCGACCAGGTCCGAGCTTGAAGGTGGGTGGTCCCCTCAGTCAAACTTGAGGAGGCCCCTCAATCAAACTGTTGACCTACTCAGTCAAACTGAGGAAAGCCAACATGGGCCACTGTTGGCTTTCAAGCCCGGTCAACTAAATATAGCAGATTTTCAAAGTAAAAAAAATAAAATCTTTCATTATCTAGAGAACATTATGTTCAGCTCACTCGTCTTATAGTGCTCGATGCGTCAACAATACTGCGGACGTGTATGCTCATTGCCTAGACTGGGAAAAATATTTCGGAAACTTTAGGGAGAGAATTGGAGGTCAGCAAAAAAAAAAAGGCAGGAAAGTTTACCAGATGCACGTCTGGTTTCCTACCCTGCATTGCGACAACGGATAAAGTGTGTGCGATATGAAAGAAGAAAATAGGAATGAACGGAATCACAAGCGCAGTCCGGAGCACATCCAGTCTACGGGTGGTCGCATAGATATGTCTCCTTCAGCCTGTTTCATAATGATTTTGTAGCCTTCCGCGCCCTGGACGCCGATGCCATGCATGGACCTAGAATCTTAATTACCGAAAAAATGTTCCCAAGTCCAGCTGGTCTTAAAGCATCTAGTGGTCACCGCCGGATGTCAAAGCGTGGTAAGTCAACTTGGTGGAACCGTGTGTGTGCAGAAACAATTCAAAAGTTGGCACAATTTCCGTCAGATACTACGCGCGCATGTTTTACTTCCACGTGTTCTTCAAATATCTAACATCTTCAAACTCTTCGACAAGGAAGAAATGCTTTATATTAACGCTATAATCTCCTGTGCCTCATAAAACACGAAAACCGACTGCTAGCATCGGCAACGTTGGCGTCTCATGATGCCGAAAATCTACATCGCGTGATGACGTTTCAGATGGCCTACATTCATGACGCCATACGTGTCACTATTACGTCCTTATGATGTGACATAACGTGTCCCTATATGACGTCATTACCACATGACGTCGTTTGGTCTAGCATCAGAAAGACAGTGCACCATAACGTGAGGTGCACAACATAGAGTTTCCTATAAATACACTAGAAGTAACTCTGGCGCTAGTGTCTATGGGAGCTGCAACGCATGGCGCTTCAGCGAGCATGAGAATTATGGTATGACATTGAATTGCCTAGTCTTCGTACTTACGGTTTCGTTTGAATTCGCCTGGCTTGGAGCTGCTTCGTCACAAAACGAAAAAAAAAAACAACTTTGGGAACCTTAAGAGAGATAGAGAGAGAATAAAATGAGAGAAAGGCAGGGAGGTTAACCAGGAATCGGAGCATCCGGTTTGCTACCCTGCACTAAGGAAAGGGAGAGTGGGGAATAAAGATGGAAAAGAAAGCTAAGAGTGAAATAAACGCATGAAAGAGAAAAGAAAAAAAAAAGTGATCTGGCGTGCTATAGCCTATTCAATAGGCCACTACCACGCAAAAAGTTCAGTAAGGCCTTCACTGATTTTCTGTGCGAAGACAGATTATGTCTTTCAAAAACTGACTGTTATAACAAGGGTCTGTCGTCAAGACGAGCTAACGCAGCAGCTAGCTGCCGTCCTTGCACGCTGTAACGAGGGCAGTGACAGAGAACGTGCTCTATCGTTTCATCGCTGCCGCAATGATCACAAGCAGCACTGTCTTTCACACCAATTCGGAAGGCGAAAGCTCCGGTGAAAGCGACCCGAAGCCACAGTCGGCAAAGCACCGTTGTCTCAAGTTGAGATAGTCCGGACGGCTGAGAATGGGGAATAAAGATGAGAAAGAAAGGTTACAGTGAAATAAACGCGGGAAAGAGAAAGGAAAAAAAAAGTGAGCTGGGGTGCTATAGCCTATTCAAGAGGCCACTAGCACGCAAAAAGTTCAATAAGGCCTTCACTGATTTTCTGTGCGAAGACAGAAAATCAGTGTCGTCTTTCAGACTATGCCGTCTTTCAAAAACTGACTGTTATAACAAGGGTTTGTCGTCAAGACGAGCTAACACAGCAGCTAGCTGCCATCTTTGCATGCTGTAATGAGGGCAGTGACAGAGAACGTGCTCTATCGTTTCATCGCTGCCGCAATGATCGCAAGCAGCACTGTCTTCTATGCCGATTCGGAAGGCCAAAGCTTTTGGTGAAAGCGACCCCAAGCCACAGTCGGCAAAGCACCGTTGTCTCAAGTCGAGCCTCCGCATAGAGGCCGAACCCTAAAGCTTCCCATTTAACCCCAGTATTCACAAACGCTCCTTGACTCGACTTTCACCCTTCACTTGACAGAGTGGAGCACTGCGCCGCTGCTCGGCTGAAAATGGCGCTGCGCTACTCCAGAATAGCAGCAACTTATCACTGATATACAGTGACTTGCCCTACCTAGAGATGGCGCTCCCATCGGCTTTCTCAAGTGAAGGTGGAGCGTGTAGTGAAGGGGCGTTCTAAAATACGGGGTTGTAGGTGTTGAACGCGATAGTGATGTCCTGTTCCCAATGCGTACTTCAAAAACTTAGTGCATAAAACCTTTTCGAACTTGCTATGCACCCACTACGTGACCTTAATGAAACAGGTTCAGTAGCGTGTGTGCCTTTTGTATTGGGTGACCCGCTTTAAACCACGAAGCCATTTTAATAATAACATGTTATGACGCTCGCTGGCAATGGTTGCTTGTACGACGCGTTATTAGTGCAACATTTCATGCTGCATTGTGAATGCGTTTGCAAAGCATGAAAGTTACTTTCACCGCGTTTTCAAGCACAGGAAGTCATTTTCACTGTATTCACAAGCAGACGCGTTGATGTGTTCACAGAAATCCACACTGGTGGCTGAGAGAGCATGCGATAGATGTCTCTCGATTGATTGATATGTGGGGTTTAACGTCCCAAAACCACCATATGATTATGAGAGACACGATAGATCTCTCTCAGACGCACCACATTTTCAAAAAAAAAAGTAATCACGAACAGGAAGTACAGCTTAGTGAACATTCTCAAATTGAACTTTCGCTTTTCCACAAAGCTTGGAGTCGGAAAAGCATAATTAGATCATATAGAATTTGCTCGGCTGCGTTTACCGGCAAGAAACGTATTTCATATGGATCGAGATGCAACTCTTTTTTTTTTTGTGCACTGTAGCACGTCCAAGCCGAATACGAGATCCAACAGTCTAGAAATACAATTTCTATTGTTTCTGTTTTTTTTTACATGAATGGCGATTGGTTGTCCAGTGAATTGATATGTATGGAAAACTTTTAATCTTGTGCTGGCCATAGCGCCGGGCTAACGTGCGCTTTATCTATATATAGTTAGAAATAAAGAAAAAGAAACGCGCGTGGCTGTGTAGTTAAACATCCGATTTCCATGCAAATGACACGTGTACGATCCCCCACTCGGACCCAAGCAACCCAGGTTTGATCCCAACTATGACCCAGAATTTTTTTATCATTTATTTTATTTGCGTCGTTCTCTATTTTTTGCTCACTCATTAGATGATGACTTTTCGCTCACAATCAACGACCCCAACGCCGATGTCTTAATTTCGGTGAAACAAGCTCTTTAGCGCTATCATGTTAAAAAAAAGCATTCAATGTCATGAACGCAATGCAAAACTTCATTTCAAATAACTTTTTCAGGCGAAAGTCAGGCCCCCAGTCTAGAGCCTGTTGGGGGACCGTCCTATGTACGGCTGACGCAGAAGCCTATAGCTAATGTTTCAGCCGCACACAGTCGTTCCGTGCACGGTTAACGTCCCCCAACCGTAGCTTGCCTCATTGCAGCTACTACTACGGGTTCGGGCGAATAAGGCAACTGGCCAGATCAACAACAAACACTTTATTGCTAAGCGTTAGCAATCGCGCGTCACTGTCGCGGGGGAGATACTACAGATAACAAAGGTGTTGACGCTTACACCTCGGTCGTGGACGTCCTCGGCTCGCAGGAGGGGTTGCGGGTTCGTCCTCCTGGGATGGTCGCTGGTGTCAGACGGTGGGTGGTGGTAGTGATTAGAATGAAGAGGAAAAAGGCACCTAATTTCTGTCTGCCTTCAGGCGACACGGCGCAGTGCCTTATAGGGGTGGGGGGAAGGAGGGATAAAAAGAATAGAAGGAAAGTAGACGGCGAGCGCCCGTTTGCCCGCTCGTTTTGTTCCCCGACCCGATTTCCCTTTCCCTGACGAGAATGGTACCTTTCCTCGCTGAGGGAGAGGGGAACCTGTTCCTGGCGCCGGGAAAGGGGGGGGAATCGCACGCGCCGGCCGTGGGGGAATGCCTCTTGCCACCATCCTGGATGGGTGGCTGCTCAGGTACATGAGCTTTGCAGCGAGCCCATTGCAATGCACGAGCTGGTGGCTGCCCTCGAGGGATCCAGGAGGCGGAGTGCTCCAGGTGCAGATGGCATCACGTTCCAAATGCTCCGAAACCTGGATGGGACTGGTCGACAACGCCTCCTGGAGCTTTACAACGACATCTGGAGCGCTGGGACCCTGCCGGAATCCTGGCGAACTGCAGTGGTGGCGCCAATCCTGAAACCCGGGAAGAAAGCCACGGCCCTCTCCTCATACAGGCCAGTTTCTCTGACCTCTGCACCATGCAAGGTGATGGAGAGGGTGGCCCTAGAGAGACTGGAGTGGATCGCCGACCAGCTGGGCTTCTTCCCGGAGCAGCAGACGGGTTTCAGGCGGCACCGGTGCACAGCAGACTCCATCTCAGACGTCGTTGCCACCCTCGAGGACGCAAGGAACAGCGGGGACGTGGCCATGCTGCTGCTGCTGGATGTAGAGAACGCATTCGACGGGCTCCCACATGTGGTCATCGAGGCGGCCCTCGACCGACTTGGCATCAGCGGATGCCTCCGAGGCTTTGTGACTGCCTTCCTGTCCGGGAGGACCTTCCGCGTCAGAGTCGGAAAGGAGACCAGCCAACCCAGGGACATCACTGCAGGTGTACCACAGGGCTCTGTGCTGAGCCCCTTCCTGTTCAACTTGGCGCTGGCGGGACTTCCAGCTTCCCTCCCGACAGACACCAGGTTCCCAGCCCGCTGTTCGGTGTACGCCGACGACGTGGCACTCTGGGCTCGGGGACCACGGCAGTCCATCCCTGCCATCCGGAGGTCACTGCAGGCGGCCCTGGATGCGGTGATCACCTACCTCGGAGGCATCGGGCTCAAGGTCTCTGCCACCAAGACCGAGGCCCTGCTGATACATCCACTGGCTGCGGGACGAACCTACGTGAGACGGCTGAAGGTCGGCAACCGCAACCTACCCTGGAGGCTGACGGTGAAGTACCTGGGGCTCACCGTGGACCACCGGCTCACGTGGATCCCTGCTGCCAAGGCTGCTGCCACAAGGGTGAAACGAGTCCAGGGGGCCATCACCAAGCTGCAGCAGCGAGGTCGCGGCTGCTCGGCCAAGTGGGCTCTGCGGCTCAACCAGGCTGCGGCGTCCTCAGTGCTACTGTACGGCCTCCCACTGGTGACCCTGTCGCCGGCCAGGAGGGACCTGCTGGAGGGACTACACCGGAAAGCACTTCGAACCATCCTGGGGCTGCCCAAGTGCTCCCCCGTGGCAGCAACTCTTGCCGAGGCAGGTGAGTGGCCCCTGTCACTCCGCATGCTTCAACGCGCGCTGGGGCACATAGACCGCCTGCACCGGGCCGCCGACGGCAGGGCCCTCCTGGAGCGTCTCCGCAACCAGCCCCAGTCACGGATGGGAGGACTATGCCAGCTGTATCACGAGATGGTCCCGGATCCGCCAGTCCCGGTAGCCTCACCACCGCCACACCACCGGCCGCCAGAGGTCCACCTCTTCTTGGACGGCGCAACCAAACATCGAACACCTGCGGCCGCATTGCAGCAGGCTGCCACCTGCAAGCTCCAGGAACAGCTGGCGGGGCGGCTGCAGGTTTTCACCGATGGATCCGTCCTGGCGGACGGGACTGCGGCAGCAGCGTGTGTCATCCCTTCCAGGGCCAGCAGCAGGCAATGCCAGCTTCCCTTCCCAGCGAGCTCCACGGCTGCGGAGCTGGCGGGACTCCACCTGGCAGCGGACCTCCTGGCTGAAGACCCCCCTGCTGAGCCGGTTGCAGTAGTGTGCGACAGCAGAGCAGCCCTGCAGACCCTGTCCAACCATCGCCGGGGCGGGCTCAATGGCAGCCTCCTGGCTTCTAAGTTCCGGGCGCTCACGACGTCAGGGACGTCCGTCTCCTTCCACTGGCTGCCCTCCCACGTGGGCATAGCTGGCAATGAGGAGGCGGACACACTGGCTAAGGCAGCCCATCAGCCTGGCACCCCCATCACCCGGGCCGTGGCGGCCAGGGACTTTACGCAGGCTCGTCTTAAGAAGCTTCTCATCACAGTCCACCCAGACCAGCGGGTGGCCAGCGGACGGGGACCGAAGCTTCTACCAGAGAAGGGCCTAACCAGGAGGGAAAGAGCCACCCTGCTGCGACTACGGACCGGCTGCGTGTGGACCGCGGCCCGCCGCCACGCCAAGGGCCGCTGCACCTCCCCGGCCTGCGACCGCTGCGGCGATCCCGAGACCCTCGAACATCTCCTCTGTGCCTGTCCTGGCTTGGCACAGGAACGTTCGAGGCTCACCACAGCCTACAGGAGACAGGGCCTTCCTGCCTCCACACTGGAACACTTCATCTTCCCGTCTCGTCCTCATCTGCCAGCGCTGCGGAGCCTGGTGGTGTTCCTCGACGAGACGGGAATCGCGGCCTACCGCTGAGACCGGGACCCCTGCCACCCCCGCCCTTGCTGCCGGCCTGCCATCTGTGCTGATGTTCGCCTGGCCACTACACCTCTAACACCTACACTCCTATCCACTTTTCTCCCACTCCCCCCCCCCCTAAGACGCTGCGCCGTGCTCCCTAATGGGCTGCAGAAATTAGGCGTCTCATTCTTCCACGAACCACCAACACACACAACCAGGCGCGTGCGCTGCCCTAAAAGGGAAAGGGAGGCTGGGCGCACCTGCTCCCCACATCTCCTCCCCCCTTAAGAAGGCCCCCGAACGACAGAGACTGCAAAGAGGGAATAATTCGTTTTATTCGTCCTCTAGATAGGCCAGAAGGGCCTGGTCTACGTCCATGCCCTCGGACCGTTCGGTGTCTGCCGCGGGCACCGCCGGAGCCCCCACCGCTCTCTCACCCGCCTCCAAGGTCATTGACGCCACCTCCGGTGTCAATGCAGCCGCCACCAATGTCTCTCCCGGCCCCGCCGCCCCCCGCTCTACGGTAGCCGTTATTGATAGCGGCGCAGGCGGACTCTCGCTGGACGCGTGGCCTGAGGCAACTCTCAGCAGCCACTGCGCGAAGTCCGCCTCCTGGGCCGCCCGCGCCAGCATGGCCCGAACCGCGGCGCCGGAGCGCTCCTGGGATGATTCGCGGCTGGATGGTTGGGTAGCCTGGGTGCGGTGCCGGTGTAATTTCCCCAATTCGTGGGAGTTATGGATCACCACGGCGCCGCACTCGCAGAACCGCGTCCCTGCGGGCACTGGAAGGCAAGCCCCGTTAGCCCTCCGGTCCGCGTCCTCTACCGTGCGCCCCTGAAAAGGGCGATACAGGTGCGCTGGGGCGACCCCAACTCGGGCCCTTTCCTGCCGGCGCCAGGGCCTCGAGGAGACGTAAGACACCGGAGGGTCGCCTCCATCCTGGCTGGTCCAGGTTGCCACGTCTCGGTGGTTGCGGCCGTGAGGCGATGCGGTCGGCTCGCCGCGTTGGGACCCTGGTCTCGTTCCTTGTGAACCGGCGGGTCGTGATGGTGACGGCGAAGCCGAGAGTTGGTGACCAGGCGGCAGCGCGCGCGGACCCCCTCGGTGGCGGCGGCTCGAGTGGCTCTGCCTCGGCGTTCGCGGCCGGGCCGCAGTGGGGTAGGGCTGCCATGTGGACGTTGGTGGGGGTGGGGGCTGGCCGTAAGGAGGTGGTCTCCTCTCCTTGCTGTTCCGGCGGTGCTGTTCCCAATGGCGCTCCATCTGTTCGGTGAGAGTGATACAGATAAAGAACGACAGGTTAACAATCGCACATGTGTTGCGCGCTAACCCTTGCACCCCGCGTCGAACATATCAAACGCGGCCTACCGTGCATAGTTGCCTCCGACTGTTACGCAGGAAGTAGCGCGGTTCTGGGCTCCTGACCCGGTGTCGAACCATCTCACCCGCCGCGCGCGGCTTGGAGGGGGACTGACCGTAGTCCTCATGCGCCTCCCGTGCTATGTAGCGTTTCAAGTCACATACATGCACCGGTCCGCCGCTCGGTTTGCCTTTCATGTTCGCGAGTCGATAAACGAGCGAAGAAACTTTCTCTCGCACTCGGTACGGCCCGGACCATTTCGGTGCCAGCGAGGCAGCAAACTGTTTGCTAGCATTACTGAGAACATGATGGCGCCGCATCACCAGATCGCCCACTTCGTAGTGTACGTTCCTACGCGTGCGGTCATACTGCGCCTTCTGCTGTGCCCTAGCAGTGCGGAGATTATGTCGAGCTTTATGTAAAGCTTCCGCTAGCTTCTCGCGCAGCTGCGTTGCGTATTCAGCGCATGCTGATGTCGCCACTGGCACTCCACTGCGGTCCGCGAGTACGGTCTCCATCGGATTCGGCAGTTCTCTCCCCAAGTTCAGAGAAGAAGGCGCATACCCAGTCGATCGGTTTACGGTCGATCGTAATGCAAAACCGATCTCTGGAAGATAGGTATCCCAGTCCTTATGTCTTTCAGAGAACGCGACAAGCATGTGCTTGATGTTGCGATTGACTCGCTCCGTGGGGTTCGACTGAGCATGGTAGGTGGTTGTTTTCTTGTGCTTAATGCCCAACGCGGCGCACGTGTCAACGAACACCTTCGCAGTGAAATAAGACGCATTGTCTGTAATAAACTGCTCGGGGAACCCGAACCTGGTAAAACCTCCATCAACTTCTCTAAAATCACTCGAGCCGTCAGCTTCCTAAGGGGAAAAAGTTCTACCCATTTAGTGAAGTGATCCGTGATCACCAGCAAGAACTTATTTCTGCTAGGAGTTGAGGGGTACGGGCCCATTACGTCACACGCTGCGATTTGCCAGGGAGTCTGACTGTTAATCGGTTGCATGAGGCCGGGCGGACGTCCTCCTCGCGGCTTGACGCTTTGGCACACACGACATGAACGGGCGTAGCGAATCACATCCCGCTTCATACCTGGCCAGGTAGCGAGGCGACACAACTTAGCGTAAGTCTTAGGGCCGCTCGCATGCCCACCAATGCACGAGTCATGAAAGTAGCGAAGAAGCGCTCCTCTCAACGCGCGCGGTATCACGACTTTAAATGACTCACTTGTGTCATCGTCGGATGGAATGTACCTCAGCAGGACGCCGTCAGAATCTAGCAGATATGAATCCAGCGCGCTCACAGCACTACCAGCTGTTGCCGAGCGCTCCGCACCGACAGCAATACCAGCTGCCCCCTTGTGCGCGGTGGCCTCACTACCACCCGGCTCCCGGAGCCCGTCGAACACCTTTCGACAAAATGGATCTTTCTGCTGAGCTTCTAACAGCTCCCTTCTGCTGAAAACAATCCCTGCGCTAACGACAGCCTCTACGTGGTTCACGCTCTTAGCTCGAACTAACGTTTGCTCCGCTGTTTGCGTTAGCGCGAGTGTCTCGCTCTCAGTTCGTTCCGAATTAGTCGCGTGACTTGCCTCGTGTCGAACTGGAGCACGCGATAGTGCGTCGGCCGCGGCATTGTTCTTACCCTTGCGGTAGCGGACGGTGAAGTCATAACGCTGCAGCAACAATGCCCAACGCGCCAATCGGCCACTTGGTTCGTTCAAACGCCTCAACCACGTGAGCGCCATGTGGTCCGTTTCAATCACAAACGCAACTCCGTCTATGTAAAAGTCAAACTTACGGAGAGCAAAAACTATCGCCAGACACTCTTTCTCGGTTACTGAGTAGTTCCTCTCCGCCGGTGTCAACGTACGGCTCGCGAACGCAATCGGTCGGAGGGAACCTCCATGCTCCTGAAGCAAAATTGCTCCTAAGCCCAGGTCGCTTGCATCGGTGTGAATAACAAACTCCCTGTTCAAATCGGGTAGCTGCAGCTGAGCCGTGTTGGCCAGCAACTTCGTGAGGCGACGCAGTGCGGCCTCTTGCTCTTGGCTCCAAGCCCAACGCTCACCATTCCTCAAGAGCTTCGTTAAAGGCGCCTGCACTGCCGCGCAATCTGGAATGAATTGGCGATAAAAATTCACCATCCCCAAAAAGCGCCTCAGCTCACCGACATTGTTCGGCGATGGATAGCTCACTATCGCTTCAAGCTTACCCTTATCCGGCAAAATGCGACCCTCGTCAAGCGTAAATCCCAATAATGTTATTCGGGTCGCCGCTATCTGAGCTTTGTTTGGGTTCAAAGTGATGCCCGCAGACCTCAGCCGTTCTAGAACGTCTCTCAAGTGGCGCACGTGCTCTTCGAACGTTTTCGAGTAAACCACTATGTCGTCTAGATATGCGAGTGCGTGCTGCCACTTTGCATCTCCCAAAACACGGTCCATTAGCCTCTGATACGTAGCGGGAGCGCCCACCAAGCCAAACGACATTCTCCTGAATTGGAAAAGTCCTCTGTGGCACGTGAAAGCTGACTTCTCTTTATCCCGCTCGTCCATCTCAACCTGAAAATATCCGCGGCTAGCATCGAGCGTTGTGAAGTACTTCGCCCCGCCTAGATTGGATACTAACGATGAAATGGAGGGAAGAGGATACGCGTCCTTCTTCGTAATTTCATTCAGCCTGCGGTAGTCTACACAAAGGCGATACGTATCATCTTTCTTTGGAACTAGAACTACCGGGAAACCCCATGGGCTGTTTGACCTCTCAACTACGCCTGTTTCGATGAGTTCGTCCAAGGCGGCGTCTAGTGCTTTCCGCTTAGCTAAGCTGATTGGTCGGGGATTGCATTTCCAAGGGCGTGCATCACCCGTGTCAATTCTATGCTTAACCAGCGTAGTGCGGCCGGGACAGTCAGTAAACATCGCGTCATATTCGTACAACAGCGACGACAGCTGCGCTCGTTCCCCCTCTAGTAGGCTCTGTGCCTGTACCAAAAGCGGGTGCACTGCCCTTTCCTGCAGCGCAGCACATTGCTCCGGCGGGGCGTTTACTCGCTTTCTCGGCGCGCTTTCCTCCTCGCGTACTCGCGCCTCTCCCTGCGATTGGCATGCTTTTGTCAATGCGGAGGCCTTCGAGAAAAGCTTCAGCGCGTCTCCGTCGCGCTCTCGGTAACCACCGTTTGCAATGTCAATGACAATACCCGACTTAGCGAGGAAGTCTCGACCCAGGATTAGAGGCATTGACAGCCCTGGAAGATGCACGAAACGTTGTCGCCTCACGCGTCTGTCCCAGCGGATCACTAGCCTAGCCGCGCCGCTCGATTGTGCTGTGCCCGTAGCTAGACGGAAGATGGTGTTGCTTTGCCTCAAGCGGATGTTGTTTTCGCGGAGATGGTGCAACACATCGTCACCGAATAAAGAAGCGCTTGCCCCAGTATCCAAAAGTGCTACGAACTTTTTCCGAGCTATCGTTAACTCGATTAGCGGCGCGGGCGAGTCTACGGCATCACCTGCGCGACAGACCGACGGTGCAAGTGATCCGAACGCATCGGTAGGATTACTAATCGCCGCGCGGGGTCCCATGTGAATCACCGGCGGCGCCGTCCGTTTCCCGAACCGCGCGTTTGCTCCTGACCCGGCGTGCGGTCGCATTCGCGAGCGATGTGCCCTGGCGCGCCGCACCGATAGCAAGGACCGCGGACACCACGCCGGTTCGCTCGTAACTCGCCTCGATCAGGTGGTCCTCGCTCTGGATTGCGCCGCTCGTTAGGCCTCGCGTCAACCACGTGCTCCTGCCTTGGAATGTCACGCGCAGGGGCGGCGTGTGCCGTACGGAGCGCGTAAGCGTAGGGGTCTAAAGCGCGGTTTGACAGCTCCCAACCGCGTGACACGTGCTCATCAGCGTACGATGCTGATGCGTTACCCCTAAACGCTTCTGAAGTCACTGCGCCGCCGTTCCATGCACAGCGAGGCTCGATTGACTGCGCGGCGGGCGGAGGGGGGCGATACGAACGCGCTGCGAGGATGTCCCCTTGTATGCGTTTCGCCTCGGTGGCGAGCTCTTCGAGGTCTGCGAACCTGAATCCCCTGAAGTGCGCCGCGAAAGTCGGGTGCGCCTGTCGGGTAACACGCTCGACCTTTTCCGCGTTGGTGGCGTGAGGGTTCGCGAGACGATACAATTCGTCCATCGCCCGTACGTATTCCAGCAAGGATTCGTCCGGATGCTGGGTGCGCAGCTCCAACTCCCTCCGCAAACGCCACTCATAATTAGCCGGTAGGAATTCGCCGCGAAAGCTTTCGCGGAACTCTTCTACCGTACGGGCGCGATGTCCGGTTAGTCGGAACCACCGAGCCGCTTGCTCCGTGAGCGACACCGGGACCACGCGCTCGAGAAGTTCGGCATCAGAAAGACCCGTCGCCTGCTGATAATGGAGCAACCGGTCGAGATACTCGTTGGCGCTCTTGCAGTCGTGGTAACCCGTGTAGGTCGGAACGTCTACCTTGACACGTGGTCGCACATTTTGCCCGGGGGCCTGCGCTGTGTTCTGCAGGGCGCTCGCGAGGCTTTGCATAACTGACAGCGCATTCTGTAAGAGTACCTCGCTCGAGGGCAAACTGTTGCCCGAAGACTCGCCTATAGTTGAGGCGCGTGTCGTAACTTGTGGCGGCGCCTCTCTGTTCGCGTCGCGAGATGCCGGAGCGCCATGCGGGCCGCTCTCCGTCGTAGGCCTACTCTCTGCTAACGCGGTCTCTGCACCCTCCTGATCATCCCGCGTGAAACGACCAAGCTCTACGCTGTCGGAAAGTCCTAACAGTACCCCCGCGTTAGCCAAAGGATCGCCACTCTGCGACGCGACATCCGACAACATTGACAAATCTTGGAATTCCGACATGCCTATTATCCTACGTGTGGAAGAGCGCCCTGGCACTTGCTCGCGTCCACAGAACTAGCCGCGTTGCCAAATTCGTTACGTTGGGCGCCAGATGTTGGGGGACCGTCCTATGTACGGCTGACGCAGAAGCCTATAGCTAATGTTTCAGCCGCACACAGTCGTTCCGTGCACGGTTAACGTCCCCCAACCGTAGCTTGCCTCATTGCAGCTACTACTACGGGTTCGGGCGAATAAGGCAACTGGCCAGATCAACAACAAACACTTTATTGCTAAGCGTTAGCAATCGCGCGTCACTGTCGCGGGGGAGATACTACAGATAACAAAGGTGTTGACGCTTACACCTCGGTCGTGGACGTCCTCGGCTCGCAGGAGGGGTTGCGGGTTCGTCCTCCTGGGATGGTCGCTGGTGTCAGACGGCGAGCGGCGAGCGCCCGTTTGCCCGCTCGTTTTGTTCCCCGACCCGATTTCCCTTTCCCTGACGAGAATGGTACCTTTCCTCGCTGAGGGAGAGGGGAACCTGTTCCTGGCGCCGGGAAAGGGGGGGGAATCGCACGCGCCGGCCGTGGGGGAAGGGGTCCCCGCAACCAGGCGCGTGCGCTGCCCTAAAAGGGAAAGGGAGGCTGGGCGCACCTGCTCCCCACAAGCCCCTGTGGCCTTTGCCATCTTGCGAGCTCTGTCGATCTGCTTGAGCTGTTGGCGTGCACTCTGTAAGTGCCCGCTTGCAGGGTCTTGTCCGCTTCTTGAAACGAACACGCCAGGGCAATGGCTGGGCCAAGACAAAAGCTTTATTGCGATAGCGCGGGTTAATGTAGCGTTGTGCGAGAGGGGTTAAGGGAAAGGGAAGGAGAAGAAGCAGTGGTGATAACGGCGGCTTCGGCTGGCGTGACGTCACGGATACATCATTCCGCTCCCCCTACGGTGAGTAACGGTCTGGGGGTTTGCGTTGCCGGCCCGAGCGACGCAACACCGGAGTTGAGGGGCTCCCGGCGATCTCGCTCCTTGTTGGCGCTCGCCTCGGTGTTCCTCCTGCTAGGGCCCCGCCGGCAGTTTCGAGGCACCGAGAGTCACCGACTTCTCCCTGGTCATGCTCCAGCTCCCGTGGCTTCACCTGGTCGCTGTGGCGCCTAATGGTTTCCCCCTCCGGACCATCGGCATTCACCAGGCGGGCTCCGTCTGTCGATGTAATGCTGGCTGGAGTCCACGGCTCGCCTCGCCCGAAGTTCCTCACCCAGACTGGCTCCCCGGGCTGCCACCCATCGAGGGGGGGACGGTCAACTGGTGAGGGCGGAATGGACACTGCGTTGTCCAGCCTGGAGCGAAGATCGTAGCCCATTAGGAGTTGCGCTGGTGTCCGGCCCCCGGCCTGCGGCGTCCTGCGGTACCTGTGCAAAATCCTAGCCAGGCGGGTTTTCAGTGACCCTTGTACATTCTTCTTCAATGAATACTTCACCGTACGAACCGCCCGCTCCGCGAGCCCATTGGACTGGGGGTGATACGGTGCTGTTCGGAGGTGTACTATGTTATTCAGCTTCGTGAAGGTGTTAAATTCCCAACTCGTAAACTGTGGGCCATTATCGGATACCAGCGTCCGGGGCAACCCGAATGTACTGAACAAGGTGCGCAGAGCCTCTATGGTGGCGTGTGTGGTGGAACTCTTCATGGGTATCGCTTCTATCCACTTACTATGTGAATCCACCACAATCAGTAGCATGTGACCATCGATCGGCCCCGCAAAATCGATATGCAGCCTCGACCAACGCTCATCCGTTTCTGGCCACGCAACAGGGGGTTTCTTTGGGGGCATAGGGGCAGCTTGGATGCAACTGGTGCAGGACTTAACCATGTGCTCAATGTCATTATCGATCCGGGGGTACCACATCAAGGAGCGCCCTAGCCGCTTCATTGAGCAAATCCCTTGATGAGTATCATGCAGCAGACGTAACATCACTGCTCGGGCACTCTTAGGGACGATCACTCGATGGCCCCAGTATAGAAGCCCATAACTCCCCGTTATCTCAGCTTTCCGGTTGAAGTATGGCATCAAGTGCTGGTCCTTAGGCCCCAAATTTCTTGGCCATCCCTCCTGCACCCATTTTTGCACCTTTGCTAAATCGTCATCAAGCTCCGTGAGAGTGCCCAGTTGCTTCGCAGACATGACACCATCATTGAGGGTCTCCGTGAGCAGGACATACTCACCGTCCACAGTTTCTTCCTGCGTCTCTGGCTGGGAAGTTGCTGACGTGGGGAGTCGGCTGAGGGCATCGGCTGGAATGTTGTCTTTCCCGGGCTGGTGTTTGATGACGTAATCGTAGGCGCTCAGCAGCAGGGCCCACCGCTGGATTCGCGCAGCGGCCATCACGGGCACTGGCCTGTCTGGGTGAAAAAGTGCAACAAGCGGCTTATGGTCCGTCATCAATGTGAAAGTATTGCCGAGCAAGTATTGTCGGAATTTCGACGCACCAAACACAAGTGCCAAGGCTTCACGCTCCAGCTGCGAGTAATTTTCTCAGCTCCAGTCAATAACCGAGAGCGGAACCCTATGGGCCGAAGTACTCCGCCCCCGACATCGTGTGAAAGCACTGCGCCTATTCCGTCCGGGGAGGCATCGCATTCCAGGACTAGCGGCTTGTGTGGGTCAAAATGTGCCAGAAAGTCTGCGGATTTCAGAAGGTCTTTCACACTGCTGAATGACTGCTGTTGAGCGGTATCCCACTTCCACTTAGCTTCCTTCCGGAGTAGTTGATATAGGGGTGCCATGGCGGTCGATGCATTGGGAAGAAACTTGTGGTAGTACGTTACCATGCCGAGGTAGGACCTTAATTCTGCGGAATTCCGTGGTGCCTGAACCTTAAGGATGGCGTCTATGTTTTCCGTCTTTGGTTGAAGACCTCGAGCGCCGATTCGATGCCCCAAAAAATCCACCTCTGGTTGGCGGAACTTGCACTTGTCTGCGTTCAGGCGCACGCCGTATTCCCGGAAACGCTTGAATACTTCGTGCAGGGTGGTGCAGTCATTGCGTTTCTCGGCCACGATGACGTCGTCTAGGTAGACCTGAACACCCGGAAGTCCCTGCAAAATGGTCTCCATACGCCGTTGGAACACGGCCGGCGCGGACGCCACTCCAAAAGGCAGGCGAGTAAAGCTGAACAGTCCCTTATGCGTGTTTATGGTCGTGAGTTGCATGGCTTCCTCATCCAACGGAAGCTGGTTGTATGCCTCCCGCAAGTCTATCGTGGTAAAAACTTCACCGCCATTTAATGTAGCCAGGATATCCTCCACCCGTGGCAACGGGTATTGCTCAGTGCGACAGGCTTTGTTGACCGTTAGCTTAAAATCGCCGCAAAGGCGGATGCAGCCATTCCGTTTCACTACCGGTACCACTGGCGCCGCCCACTCCGCATGAGGCACCGGTACAATAATACCCGCGCCCGAAAGGCGGTCCAGTTCCGCGTCGACCTTTGGCCGAAAAGCATACGGAACTTCGCGTGCTTTCCAAAACTTCGGCACCACGTTTTCTCGCGTCTCGAAGTGTACCGGTGGCCCTTTATGAGCCCTAAACCTGGCGCGAACACATCAGCGAATTCTGCTAGCAACCGGTCCACGTTGACGTCGTCAGCACCGAGTAACGGCAGTTGCTCACCTGACGTGTTCACGTTCATTACCGGTGCCTCGAGCATGTGGAACGCTTGAATCAGGTCGCGTCCGCAGAGGTTTGGGCCGGAGCAACCAAGGACTTGCAAAGATCCAGCCGTCGACTTGTTTCCGCACGAAACCTTGAGCTGAAGTTGTCCCCGCACTGGAAGCCGTCCCAGGAAGCAGGTGAGTTTCAATGGCGAACCACGCAGCTTCGGCCACACTGTTTTGTTCCGCTCATATGTGGGCCACGTGATGACCGAAACCGGCGAGCCTGTGTCGACCTGCATGTTCACTGGAACCCCACCACAATCCAAGGTGCGCACGATGGGTTGCGTAATGCCGACGTGGCCGATGTGACTGTCCGCTGCCTCCAGCGCGAACATACCGTCCGTGCCAGTGTCTTCCTCCCGCGACAAGGCGTGTACTTGGCGTTCTGGTGGTACCACCCCGAACCCACTCTCACGGCGGCAACAGGCTCGAGCGATATGACCTCGTTGTTTACACTTGAAGCATGACGCCGAGCGGAAGCGGCAATCCTCGGGTCCGTGCCCTTTTGCTCCGCAGCGGTAGCACCCAACAATCTGTGGCCGGCTTCGTGGGCGATAGGACTGGCCTCCCAGCGCATGCACACTTGCCTCAGCGGTGGGGCTTACTATCTCTTGCGCGTTGGCCTCGGCCATTTCGGTAGATATCGCAATTTCTTCCGCTTCGCTCCTCGTCAGCTGTGGTTTCGCGAGTAGCTGCCGACGCACTCCGACGTTGTGCAGACCACACACGATGCGATCTCGTAGCATTCTGTCCAACGAAGCACCAAAATTGCAGGTGTCCGCTATCTGTCGAATCGCCACGACAAAATCCTTGACCGGTTCGCCGGGCAGCTGATTGCGGGTGAAGAACTTATAAGACTGTGCTATCTCGTTCGGTTGCGGCGAGAAGTGCTGCTTAAGCAAGGCTATCACTTGTGGGTACGAAAGTTCATTCACCTTATCCGGAGCACAACGTCCGCTCAGTACGTCGACGGTGTGGGTGGACAGTGCAGTCACCAGCAGGGCCCGCTTCTTGTTGTCTTCCGTGATGCCATTTCCCTCAAAGAAGGCTTCCAGCCGAACCTGGTACGCGGGCCACTTGTCGCTCGCCTCGTCGAACTGCGGCGGGCTGGCGTATCCTCCCGTGGGTGCGGCGGTCATGACGGACGGAGTTGCCGCACCGCTTTTAATCCCATCCTCGTTGCCACTGAAACGAACACGCCAGGGCAATGGCTGGGCCAAGACAAAAGCTTTATTGCGATAGCGCGGGTTAATGTAGCGTTGTGCGAGAGGGGTTAAGGGAAAGGGAAGGAGAAGAAAGAAGCAGTGGTGATAACGGCGGCTTCGGCTGGCGTGACGTCACGGATACATCACTTCTCACGTCATTTCCTGGATGCGTTCAACTGACTAACTAGTGCGAAGAAAGAAAGAAAGTGTTTGAAGCGTGCGCTTAATCCCTGTGACTTTACACGTGCTTTATGGATTCTTAACACTTATACAACTGTAGATCGTAAGCTATTTTAATGAAGCCATACGTCAATTTTCGGGAGAGGACCTGCAGCGCCCCTATAAGGTACGGGCACGAAGACCTTTCGAAGTTTTTTTTTCGCCTTTTATATCTAAGAACAAAATTGGCGATGGCGCTTTTTCAAAACTTAACAGCGCCAATAAGCTCTTTGTACGAAAGAAAGCGACTGTCCCGTTTGACCTTACAGGCTGTGTCACCTAATTAAAAAGTTAATCAATTCATTTTGATCAATTATGTCGCATTTCATGTCTCGGGTCATTTGAGGACGCTGGCTTGATTAGAACACCTATGTCATTAAGCATATCATTCATAATTAAGTATAAAGAGTGCGAATTACCCTTTGAGTACCCCTAAAACTCTACGCTTGATGCTAGTAGGCGCTTCATAAGCGAGAAAACGCGCATAAAGAAAATGTTTGTGGCTACGCCACCTTCAAATGCCTCTGAAGGCCTCTGAAGGCACTACAACTTCCGTCGAGCGGTGCGACGTGCCGCTTCCTGTGAGAAATGTGAAAAGAAGAATTTTTCTTTGTTCCACGTGGACATCAACAAAAATTAATTTGCACTAAATTCCTATAGCCTGAGATTTTATTCTATTTATGCCATAAGTGAGCATCTGTGACTTCATGGTACAGAGATATTTAATTACAACCCAATTAGGACGAGTTGCTATAGAACTCGTCAATTCAATAATTTTCTAATTATTTTTGTTGCAATAGAATATTGAGAGCCCTGAAGTAACGTTGTAGCGATTTGACACATTTACATACAGTTCTTCATAGGTGGTGTCTAAAGGCTTAAGAAAGTGTTTACAAGTGTTTAAGGGATGAAGCTCAAGGCTCGCTTTTCTGTTTACACTTTGCAATGTGAAACCTTCAGCGTGGTTTTAAAAGTCGCTTTATACTTGCCGAACCATGCCTTCTGTTGCCTATACATAGAAAAAGATGGAGGCTTGAAGTAATTAGAAATCCCAGAAAAGGTAGTCAAAAGGCGTCGTTGCTGCCTTTTAGAAAACAATACTGTTAACTCCGAATTTGGTGAAACCGCAAGTTTAAGCTTTCTTCTTTTTTTCTTTTGCTTGTTGTCAATGCATACGTAACGTTTGTTTGCTTATGCTGCGTGTCGAAGACGGCGGCAGTTACGTCTCGCAGCCGTCCCTACTGCGCTGGCTTCGCGCATGACTGAACACGTCGTGGAATACACCGTGGAAAACAGCAAACTCGCGGTCGCTAAGGTTGTTTCTGAGCGAGTAACGCTGGCACGCGCACTTGTCTTCCAATAAAGAAGACATAAAACTGCCAGAAACCGACGCCTCCTCGTTCACGCATTTCTCTTCAGACAATGCGCGACTCCGAGCAGAGGTTTTGTAGTCTCACCTAATTGCTTAGGAAGCGACTGCGACGAGCAACCCTCCCCCCCCCCCAAAAAAAAGGGAAAATGTTTTCTGCAATGCGCCTCATTTCGGTTTCGTCTTAGTTGCTTCGTTAACGAGGTCCTTCTTAGCCAATATAAGCGACTCGAAGCTGAAGTGCGCACATGTCGGTGCGCATTCGTGACGAGTAGCAGCAGCTCAAGTCTTCGAAGATGCGTACTTTCGGGGCTTTCCTTCTCGTCGTGATAAGCGTCGTTAGCGGCGACGTCCAAGAGCGCGGCCACAGCTACGTGACCAAAAATGTGACGGTTGAAAACGGTAAGTATACCGTAGTTGCTATTTTCTATTTTTTTTTAAATTTTATGCTGCAGCAGTTTACAACAAATTAATGACGAAGATTATTTCGTGCGAGTAGTAGTAGTAGTAGTAGTAGTAGTAGTAGTAGTAGTAGTAGTAGTAGTAGTAGTAGTAGTAGTAATAGTAGTAGTAGTGCGAAATGAGTGTGACTTCACCTGTTATTGCCAATTCAGCACGTTATGTATCGCATATTCTTTTCAAGGTTCTCCAGAACCTCCTATACTGACAAAGCGCGCTGAAATGACACAGTGCTAAGGGTCGTGGCGAGGATTCAGAGCCAAGGCGCGGATGGGCCGCCTCGGTGGAACCGTTGGCTAGGGTGTTCGGCTGCTGGCCAGAAGGTCGTGGGTTCGATGCCGACGACGGTGGTCGCATTTCAATAGAGGCGAAAACGCTAGAGGCTCGTGTACTGTGCGTTGGCAGTGCGCGTGAAGGAACACCAGATAGTCAAAATTTCCGGAGACCTCCACTAGGGCGTCTCTCACGATTATCTCGCGGCTTGGGAACGTAAAACCCCCGATATCGCTATTTCATGGCTCCGATGTCGTTCCATCACCATGTCACCATGTTCTCGTCATGTTTATGTACACACAAAGCGAAGAAAGTTTCGTTCCTAAAGAAAAAAAAACGAAATCGATGGTATAGTTAACTTCTCTGTTATTTTAAATTGTGTTTTCCCGGTCATTTTAAAGCATTTTAAAACAAAATATACCTTGAAGGGTGTTTCGTTTTCGCGTACGAAACACCACTTTTCTATGGCTAACGGGAAATTTTAGCCGTCAGCCTGACTTCGTGAACCGTGAGAAATGGCGTTGCTTATAGGAATTCCAGCCAGCAGGTATACATGGAAAATCTGATAGAAGCTCTGGGCAGCTAGAGCGATGAAATTGCGTTTCAAGTATTTTTTTTTTTCTAGCAAGGAAGGAAGAATGAACAACCAGAGAAAAGAAAGGGGGGTTAGCCGGGCTCATGCCCGGTTCGCTACCAAGTTGCATCCATAAATAATGCTTGTAATCCTGAGTCGATGTGCGTAGCCGTATGAGCGAGTCAGTTTACGTTCATATTCAAGATAAAAGGAGCGATACACGCACACACAAAAAAAAGCTGGAATTCTGTTAAGAAAAGGCTGAGAAAGGAAGTTTTCGTCAATTGGTAATGCATTAATGGGGAACATAACAGCATTTGTTGAGGTTCAATGCCCCAAAACCACGACATGATTTCGAGAGACTCTGTAGTGGAAAGTCCGGATAGTTTTCATCACCTGGGGTCTTCTAATGAGCACGCTATCTAAGTACATGAAGCTCGAGCATTTTCGCCCACATTGAGAATTCTGCCAGCACAGCTGAGTGCTTTCGTAATACCGGCGAACGAGCACAAAGACACAAAAAGGCACTTTTAGCGGTTCGCCTGTATCTCAGTGTTGTCTTTGTGCATGTCTGCTGGTATATACTGCAGTAGTGTTCGTAATTCTTTCGCTTCTACATTCCCCCTTATTTTTTTTTCTAGTGACGTACTTCACTGCCTCATGCTGCTAATGTTCACCACGATGATTACATAAAATGAATTGAATTTGCCTCCAAAAATAATTCGGTCTCGCTTTGTATAGACCTGGGGTTGTCAGCCTTGGTACAGCTAAATGCCGTTTAAATACGCGGAGTAGCATCAAAACTTATATTGAGTATATACAGCACTGTACGAGATCAAGAAAAAAAACTAACCAGCTCTACTTCGCGGGCACTGATGACTCAGCAAAGTTGGTGGCCGACCCTTCTTCAGAATATCAACTTTCTGTGTCTTACCAGTCTCTCAAATAATTCGTCCCTATTACTACTAATGTTAAGAAGGAGGCGGAGCAGGAAAGATTAAGTGGAAGAACAGAGAGGTTAGCCAGCTCTTACACCGGCTGGCTTCCTTGTGCTTGGGAAAGGGGTGAGGGGAATAAAAGATGATAAAAAAGAAATGTTGCAAAGGGAGAGAGAGAGAATAAAAAATAGCGAAAGAGGAACAGCAAAATGAAAGAGAATAAGACACTAAAGTCTGTCTCTGAGGCCAGCTGTCCGCAAAAAGCGTAGCAAACCTTTCAAAGCCTCCCGGGCTGAAGATAGTTCAGCAGTATTTATTAAGCTTCGAGGTAGTAGTACGACTACCATCATTAACAACCACAAGATATGACGTGACAGTGGTGCGACTATATGTCACGCATGTTGGGGGCCAAGTGTGCCTTCTTGCTTTTTAGTTGCAGGTGTATGTGTTGGGAGGTTTAGCCAATATCCATGCAGTATACGCATTTATGATGATGACGCTTTTCTCATAGGCCGCACAGGTTTCTGTGGTACATACTCGTTTGTTGAGCTGACTAGTTTGTTGGGCTGACTGAAAATGGGGCCAGCAGCTGCTGCCCCATTTTCAGTGGACCTGGGCTGAGAAATAAGATTTACTTAATTTTCATGGCACATACCTACTTATGGTGTCGACCAGCGTTACCACGGGTCCTGGACTTGAAAGCCTCGACCAAAGACAGCTTCGTTGTTAAAAGGGCATATTTATGTCACACAGCAATAAGATCTATCCTGTTTCATTGCATTCTCTTTCTTGAAAACTCTGTGCTCGCCACTCTCGTAATAATCAATGCTGTGTTTCGCTGATAACGCACATGCCTTGCACGCTATAGAAGTGCTTTGCGCAGGGTGGTAATGAAAAAAAAAAAGGCATGCAATATCATTTTGTCCGACAAAAAGTTACAGTCTTTACTCGCCCCCCCCCCTTTTTTTAAGAGTATGGGCACTCTAAATAACAAAAAAGAAAGCACTCACTCTACAAAGAAAACGAATGCGAAATGCACAGACTGTTCGACGGTTAGGTCATTATGAGCCCCTCGTTTGATATACGAGGTTCCTACAGTATACTCCGTCCTGTCAATCTGTAGTGAATTTAAGTGATGCTATCACAATTACCTTGTTGAATAGTGTGGTTTTTGTCGTATCAACCTACGCTTTTGTGGTTCTTAGGTGCCTGCGTGTATCAGCGCAACATCATTCCGGACGGTGAAACCAAAGCGCTCAACAATCCGTGCATCCTTTCCACGTGCTACGCGGCCGACCGTAAGGTGAACTCTACTCTGTGAGTATGGCAGTCCGTCCGTTATATGATGAGCCCGTTATGCGAAAACTCTGTGGTCCGCCTTATATTTACGTGAAAACCCCGTGAAGGAATGCTTTTCAGAATTAACGCAGTAAACTATTCTTCGAAAAGTGACAAACTAGATTTTGTCTAATGCATTCCAAGTAATTAAACGGGGGGTAACGTAATATAATAATATAATAAATCACAGAAAACACACAAGCACAAGCACTTTTTTGGAACTGATTTTTTTCCCTGCACGAACAACACGTATACCCTCACACAAATAAACGAAAAAAAAACTGGAAGTCTTTTATACGCATTCGAATATACGATTGACTTTTGTCCATGCCCCCTATTATTTATCCTTAATTTCTTGTCGCTATTTCGTAATGGCAAATTGTTAACAACTAGCCCGATTGTCAGTCCTATTTATAAGCTTTCTTGACAATTTAGTAATCATAAAGGTAACCGTTATCAGATGTGGTTACTAACGAAAACAAATCCACTCATTGTTTCGTGTTGTTCTGCATGCCAGCATGTGTTTCGGTCTTTTTTTCGATATGTTGTCTGCTTTAATGACACAAAATACCGTCAGGCCATGAACCGATTGGTACACCTTTTCTTCGTATGGGCCCTTAACAAAGCTTTCAAATTCGCGTCTTAACAAAGCAACTAACAAGCGAACTTTCAGTCTCATGCTACTTCAACCTTACCTCAAAAAAGCCAAGCATTACGTAGTTTAGAGTCGACCACCTGTATATTTGTACGAGCACAGAAAGCTTTAACAAATACGGAAAAGTCCAAGACGAAATTCTAACCCTTAGCAGAATGGTTAAGTCGGCTAACTGGCGTTAAAGCTTATCTTAGAGCAACGAGTTGGTGAGACGATGTCACAGACAGGCCAACGTTAGAACATTTATTGTAGACATTGCCAACAAACTCGGCGACTGCATAATCCACCATCCACCATTCCTACTCTTATACATTTTACAAAAATATATACTAAATACAAATATTAGGTTGAACGAACGACTCAGCAAAGACCACCTACTTTGAAAAAAATGACCATCAAAAACGTCAAGAACACAGTTTTAATTTTTTTAATATCTCATAATTAAGGCTGCGTGATCTTTCTCATTGACAAGACAGCGATAATTCTCAGCTAACGGGTGCCATAACATTAGCGACACATATCAATATTGGTACTCACTGCACTCAAGAATTAAAAAAAACGGAATTTTTTGAAGACGAAAGTAAAATGATCACGTGGTAATATCTATACAGGATGCCAATAATATTATCGCACCGTAATAGAATAATTATAGGCTCTAATCCTTGACTTAGATGTCTACTAGCGACACTTGAAGGACAGCGTACGTGTGTTCTGGTGTATTCCTTGGGTCAAAACTCTGTTTCATCGAACTGCCGAAGCCGATCTCAGAGGCTAAGTAGAAAAAGGTACTTGGTTGAGATTTGTCCCACCAGGATTCGCAACAATCCTATCTGCTCTAAAATAAAGCAGCTTGGTGTTTCACTGAACTCGTTCAGTTGAATTTCTTAGTTGACAATTAATTGTCCCCTACTGGCACTTCCGCTCCGAATATATGTATCCCGTATCGCTCTTAACTTCAACCAGAGTTGTTGGTTTTAAGCAAATTTTATATCATTACTTGTCTTTTTTTAATATTCGGGAAATTGAAAGTGACCGCTTGACCCGAAGCGCTTGGGAGAGAAGCAAGACTGCCACTTGGTTCTCGTGCCACTAATCGTTGCGACAAGAACTCGCGTCACTATTATTTCCATAAAGCAAATAGTACCATGGTAGCGTGAAGAGCTTGGGTTAAGTTGACCGTGTGGTCGTTGTCCGATGTCGCTACATGTGATTTATATCTTCAAAAGTAATGCCTGATAACTCCGTCAACGCCGGAACATGTTTAAGATTGGTTTTCATTGAAAGACAACGGAATCTCCATTCTAAGCTAGCACTCAAAACGAACGAACTTTCTCTATTCCTTGAACTTTTCACTCATCTACATCTAAGAATTAGTGAAGAAAGGTGTAAGCATGAATAAAAAATTGAGTAAAAGCTGTTCTTGTTTTCAGGCTGTACGTGCTGTGAAATAATGCCAACTACATGCATCTGCACTGCTTTGAAAGTAAAAAAGTGAGATTTCCAGCACATGTTCTATGTACCACGAATTCCGAGAATGCCTGCGCGCGTTTAAACTTGTTTCCGATTGGGAAAAAGTAGATAAAGATTTGGGTTTGAACATGAAATGAAGTTGGACCAATTTTCAAGTATTTAATCGAGTTTTCATACTTTAGCTTCTCGACACACGCGAGAACATTTCAGTAGGATGTAAACAAAGTATATTCTTAATTATTTGCTGGTCATGTTTCCGTACATGTGAATTTTTTTACAAGTTCATACCTCTGCGCTTCTTGGGGATTGCAAAGTGAAATATATAGCGCAATAATTGTGTACACGACCGAGTTTGCCTGAAATGAATGACTTGCCACTTACGCCCTCATTGTCTCGTGGTACACAAAGGTAAATGATACGGAGTACTTGAAGCTGTTAACTCGGATAGTTGGTACATTTGCGAAGCATTGTTTAATTGTTCTGCCACCCAAATAAAGGGACGGCTTTGAGCAAGTGTAAAGCCCAATGAGCACTGATAAAATATTTTGATGTTATATTAAAGCCAATGTTCCTTCGGCACACTTACTAGAGTGACGTCAGACTAGTGAGTCTGACGTCTAGAGTGACGTCAGACTGCACTGTCGATTCTGGTGGCATCACCCACCAGTATGGTCTAGCTGTGTTCACGTCCCGTTCCAAAATACACGAAATGGCCACTTGTGCCTCACCAACAGAGCCATGCACTGAATCGTGCTCGGAAACTCCACGATCTCCTCTGTGATCACATGAAGAGAAGGGCACACTGTGTTGTGACGTCAGAGTATACATAGAATGAACCAAAAGTAACCTTTTAAAAGTATGTTGTAATTAATTTTTTTTCTGGGTGCACTCGCGCTTACCAGCACACTCTCCCAGCATTTTAGTGCATTATTGGTGATAAAAAGAAAACTACAACGAAAAATTTTGTCAGTACCCCTTTAAGAGCAACAAGAAAAATCACGAAAGCATAGAAAAAACAAAGGAACTGTACGAACGCTAGCATTCTTAGTGTTCTGGAGTTGATACTATTATTTTGTCGATATATGTGTCCATGTTTCTTGCCAATTCTTCGGGGTGCTAGAAGCGCATTAATAATATGCCATATCACACATGAATGTTTATCAGCAGAGACCATCACGCTCACAAAATTACGCTCGCGAAAAAAAAATAAGCAGAATAAATCTCTAAACCTTCTTCCGCAGAGCCTATCTCCATTTTCTAGATTATCAGAAACTGTGTTTTTTATGGGGTCCAAAATTCTGCGGCAGTGGCCCTAAACGAACTCTGTATGGGCAGACGCGTGATGCATACAATGAATCCGCTTGTTATATGCAGCACACATCTGTTAAATAAAACTGGATAACTTCCTTGTCCTTCCGCTTATTTTCCTCCTCTTCTTTGTTAAATAAAGTGCAGTATTTAGAACACAGCGTAATTTCGCTTGTTTCCAGCTGCCCGAACATTGGAGTCGATGAGGGCTGCCACGTGGAGTGGACCCCCGACGGCGTATACCCGAACTGCTGCCCGAAGCACGTGTGCCCTGCGGCTCCTGCTACGGCCTAAGGTGGACACGTCTCCCATAAAAAGAAAACGAAGGGAGGATGCATCCTCGCTTTTGTATTATGGAACGAAAGAAGGAAGTTGGCAGAACTGTACAACTGCGAGAAATGGGACCAAAATGCAACACCGTGTGCACTTCAGTTCCTTGCTGACTGCAATCTAAAATAAACAGCAATGTCAGTGTTGTATTTTTTTATGTTCTTTGTACGAATAAAATGCATAAGCTTAGGCACGTCAGTACTTGATATTCACTTTTATAGTATGCAATAAAAACAAGGACAGAAAAGACATTCGATCTCAACTAAAGCGTGCCTAGATGTTGAGCCTTCTCGAAGAAACCTTAACAAGAAATCACATGTCAAGTGCTACATGTCCCAGCAAATTACTCATATTAAAACGTTATCCTGCCACCGCTGAAATTGCGGGTTTTCAGAGTCATTTTCGGGACACATCCTTCACTCCGGAAATTTTCTAAATCCTCCTTGAATTGCCTAAGACTACTGGGAGGCGAAGTAAATTTAGATTTTATGTACACTTTATGTCACTCACTTCACATTACGTGGGGCAACGCTCAGATAATTTTAAGGTTACTCACCGATACGATACCTTGAACTTCGCCCACTCGTAAAGATTCACGTCGTAGATATGCGTGCATTTCTTATCGCGAAACCGTATGCATTCTCAGTATAAGGTACGATTCTAATGTCACAGAACACTCCGTATTCCAAATAGTTATCATAAATGTTAAGCTATTTTAGACGGGAGTGTATGACGTCATCATCATCATCATCATCATCATCAGCCTGACTACGTCAAATGCAGTACAAAGGCCTCTCCCATGTTCCGCCAGTTAACCCGGTCCTGTGTATGACGTACATTATAAGTATTATTGCAATGATTCATTGCGACATTCGACTCTTCAGCGTCAGAATGTAAGAGTTGTCCTGCACCCCAACGACGTGTCACTGCCGCCAACGACGTTATTGTTTCGGGATTTTGGTTCGTTTGAGCAGAGATCCGGCTGTATTATGTCGAATACTGAGTGTGAAGCTTTCGTGTGCATTGTTCTGTCACATCTATTCGCATAAAAAGCAGAGCTCGCTTGTATACGTAATAGTGTCTGACACATAAGACTTTAAAGCATTTGTAAGGTCTTGGTTTTTAGTAATATTTGTGGGCATGCAGTCCAGTTTGGGATGGGTACTTCATAACTAAACCACATAAACGTAACAACGTGCGAGCCACCTGCACAGTGCCTTGACAAGGGCCTTGGAAATCGAAATCTGCTCGGTGCAGGTCAACAGGATACTCAGGCTCAGGTTCATGCGAAAACGATCATTGAGGGAGACCAAAGTGAAACAAAGAGTGTGTTTAAAATAATATACTATGTTTTGAGAACTTCATTACATGTGTGGTATGTAAGCACATGCCAGGCTCATGATGTGCTCGTGGCCATTTCGCTAGCTTCACATATACCTTCACGTAATACATTTGGTATTACGTGACGCAAACGGACGACGAAGGTAAATGACACGTCCAAACACGATGATTGTCCCATGCGTGTCATGTAAAAGATAACTACATGATATACACTCATAGCGCGCTCATGGCCATTTAGCTAGCTTAACATATACCGAATTTTGTATTACGTGACGTGAATGAATGACGAAGGTATATGGCTGGTGCCAACATATACCCTTCACTTCAGCCGTCACTGGTATGGTGCGCCCCCGTTGCCAGTGGCACATGCGACCGGACGAGCCCAGACGCAATCATGGCTGTCTCCTCCCGCGTCGTTAATTCGACTGGGCTCGCCAGAACTTGCGCGCTTTCAGGCATCTCGTGAACTTGTCTCGCCGTTACAAAAATCCTATATATGGACTTATATAAAAATCCCCATATATGGCTACATCAGGAATGGGGCATATCTGGCTTTATATGGAATCCCCATATATGGGCCCTATATAACCTGATATGCCCAAATCCTGATATAGCCATATATGGGCCTTATATACCCATATATGGGTGTTGCTGTATATGGCCATATATGGCTATATATAGAAGCATCGATATAATGTCTTATATGGATGCTTTCATATATGGCCTTATATGGATACCCTTATATAAAGCTATTCAGATGATTCATCTATATTAGTTCAGCTTGTGTCACCGGCAAAAAATATAGCTCCTCAAATCATTCTTCAGCTATAAATATAGCTGTTTGTTGAAAGGTCTGCATGCAGTCACCATCAACTCCGAAACAAAGACAGTACATATCCTTACAAGGTGCCTTATGCATTCGCCTGCTACGACTGCAAGGCGAAGGCCATTTTCAAGGCGAAAGCCTTTAACGTCTAGTACTCGCGATGACCGGTGTCTGTGCGGCCCCATGGCCCGGGGATCCAGCTGTGGTGTTTCGCTCTCACGTGGGAGGGATATGGTGTCGGCACGATGCACGTGCAAAGTGCGAGAATATGAACGCACGCAAATCGGGGACAGATTAACCTCGTGTACCGCTTTGATTCGCGGTAAAAAAATTGAAAGAAAAAAACACGCACACATTATGTTTGTGTGTCATTCCACTGGGAGCGGGGAGTGTAAAAAAGACAGGGTATTGTCAGTCGAATGACCACAGGCTTTCGCCGAACACACTTTGCAATTTTCAGTTTTTTATATAGTTTTAACCAAGCACCACACTTATATATAAAGTTTCTAATGTTTCTGTTGTATATTTTGTCTTATGACAAACTAGTATAAATATCTATAAAACTATTCAGCACTCGGTCTATACCCCCTACAGTGGGTGTGGACCATAGCTGGAGGCGAACAAAAACAACAACACTCGTGCTTTGACTGCTCGAAGCTCACCAATCGAGTGAGACGGAAGACGTCATTTTTCTCGATGGAGGATGGACATAATCCGGATGAGACCACGGGCCCCAGTGGTCTGAGTACGGATGAGAAGAGCATGGGAGTCCGTGCCGTCGCATCTGTTGTTGGCGACGCCACCGATAGCTCGGCAGCGGAGGACACATCATGTTCTAGGAACTCGCAATCAACGCTGGATAACGGCAAGCACAATCTCTTACGAGCCTACCTCTACAACAGACTTCGATTCGTTTGACAGGCAGTCGTTGGCTGAGTATTTTAAGCATCTCGCAACTACACAGGCAAGTTTCATTAGCATGAGTGGTAGGAACAACATATTTTGTCGACTTGACAAACAGGGCTCTTTTTCTCGAGAAACACAAGGTTGTCACTAAACTGGGAAGGTATCCAAGCGCACTCGATCCTTGCTCGAGAGAAAGAAACACTCCAAGACAAAATTACCCGAAAGAAGAGTAACGGAGCTCTATGGGTGCACGCGATGAGCCCAGAAAAATTGTGCTGATATTACTGAGCCTCAAACACTTTACACAGACTCCATCACTTATTATGTAGACCGAATTTGGCATGGAAACAAGCAGCGGTACTTTTAAAATGAATTTTCGTTTTCAAACAACCTCCAGACAACAATCTGGAAAATTCAGAAGTCGCCCATGTGACCAAAAATTTTTTATCTCGGAAATATTTGACCGATTCACTGTTTCCGAAGCAGTAAATCAGCACAATTTTTTCATGCATTTGTGATGGTTGCAAAATGGCTACGACGTTTCGCGTGGAATGACCCTTTATGAGTCATTTTTGGAAAAAAAGAATAAATCATTATTAAGCAGTAAATATGCCAGAATACGCCCACAAATAAACTCATAAACAATGGTACCAATTACACCCTACAATTAACACACTTTGTTCTTTTTGGTTTAGTTTGCTTTTATTCAAGGCAAAATTGCGCAAGATTGCCTTGGGGGACACGACTAAAGGCTAAGTAAAAGCCTGACTAGGTCGTGCCACCCTGGCAGCAAGACAGAAACATACCGCAAGCCTACAGTACTCAGAAAATTATAACATCACGTATTCTCTTACACGGGTACCATAATCAAACAGAAACTGCCAGAAGTGTGAATAAAAGAATAGAAATATAAACAGTCCTTATTCGAGTGGTGGCAAATATTAACAAATGCATGTTTTCTATCAAATAAATTAACAAGAAACATCTTGACTGGGAAATCGAGTTGCTTTACAAGATAAATTAGAGTATAATAAACAACAGGCAAGGGACAATAATGAACAAGGTGCAACGAATACAAAAACATCATTAACTACAAATTTCAACAACTTGTTATTTGAAACCTCGAAGTCGAATACAAACACCAACACACGGAGTTCCTTTGATTGTTACGGCTTCTTTACCACTTCAAGTTAACAGTTCAACTCAATTTTAATCTATATGTAGAAAATTCTGGTGAAGGAACACAAGCATGTCAACTCTCCTGTCTTCTGGCCGGCATGTTCTTTCGGCTCCACCATGTTCCACGCACTGGAAAATCAGAAATTATGCTTCAATGCATTCTTGTGGTCGGTTTCGTACTGTCGATAGTGCTATCGACTTTACTACCAATGGCGTTATCTATATATTTTATTTTTAAACACCGATAGTTTGATAGTGTCTAAACTATCGGATAGTGTGATCAGAAGTCCTGTTTCATTAAAAAAAAAACCTGCGTGCTTGGAAGAAAGAAATTTAAAAAAGTGGCTTCTTGCAGTGTGCTGTCTGTCTCTGACAAACTTTTCGCTGTCTAAGAAAGTCCAGCCCTTTTCTCACTGAATCAAGATTCCTTACGTTTTTAAGCTTTAATTGCACTGTCTTATTTTAAAACGTTTCCAGAGCAAAGTACCTGCGGAGCCGAGAATGCTCACCCACTGCCTGCTCATTCGAAACTACTTCTCGAACCTCACATCCGGGACATATGGGAAGAGCTTGCCACATATATATTGCGTAGGAAAACCTGGAAAGTGGACAGTTTTGACTCCTTCACGTTACTGGATGCTTCTCCGAAGACGTCCATCATTACCCAGCAGAGGTGAGGTGATGTCAGTGTAAGCTCGATATATTTTCAAGAATCTGCATTGTACAGAGAACTATATTCTGACAT